AAATACACACACACACACACACACACACACACACACACACACAGAAAGACAGATAGAAAAACACATGCAGCATGTTTAACAGATAAATAGTGGAAAAGCACAGAACAGACTCAAAACAAAGACCATAACAGTTCCAGCATGCGACTTCCCATCACACACCTCCAGACTCCAGACTACCACTTGCACCCCGAAAAATAGAGAAATCAGACATACTGGAATTTTACGGGCTCAAAAGGAAGAAGAGAAATAACCAAAACCAAAAACAGCTTACCCCCCCCCCCCCAAAAAAAAAAAAAAAAAAAAAAAAGAAACAAAAAAAAACCCCCCCCCCCCCCCCCAAAAAAAAAGTTCACAAGCAACACCCTCTATCCACCCATAGACGTAAACTGATCCAAAAAGAAACTAAAAAGAAACATGTTTCTACGTGAGAACTACACACATGCCCGTAGACTTGAATGTATCTTGTTCGTAACTCGTGAGGAAGGAAACGCGGGAAATAGACAACCAAAAACAAAATACAAAAAGGCAAGATGGCTCCCATCACAGACGATAGCAGAGGAGGCAGCCGATTTCCGCCCGGCTAATGCATTACACATGGTGCCTCGATATTTCTCTCTTTCCTTTTTTATTTTATTTCTCCTTTCTTATTTCTTCTTTACTACGGAGAATCCAACAACTGTTGTTTCGTCTTAGCGCCCGTCTCTTCTTTCTGCCAGCTCACAACAGTCTGATTTCTTCTGTTTCCGAAATCTCCTTATAGCGAACCAATGAATATGTAACGAAGTCTCGAAGGAGTCCCATGCACAGACGTGGAAAAAGTAAAAGATGGTGCAACGGGTGGCAGAGGGTGCTTCACGAAAAATATATTCCTTATTATAATATAATATTATTATGAGTACCTAAAACCACTGCCACAGTTTGCGCGGAGCGATTTGAGCAGCATTGGCTATTTCTCAGTGTCGACGCCAGTTATGCACACGTACATGTATACTTTTTTATCAACACAATTTATATCATTAGGAGGTGGGCTTCCGACCCTTGCCTCTCACGACCAACAAGGGCTGAGAGTCACTGAGACGCTCAGCAGAAAGACCGAGACGCTGAATAAAAAAAAAAATCTCTTCCACGACGTCCGTCTCCGATAGAACAAGCCAAATGGTTTGAGAGCCTTGGAAACTCCACAAAACGACCCGAGGTAAAAAAAATGCCCAGTTTGGTATTTGAACTGGCCTATCGTCACTGTAGTCCAGCATGATACCAGCTGAGCTAACAGAGCGACCAAACTAAGCTTGTCCCATACAAAAATCAAGCATGTGTTTATGTACTGAGCTAGCTGTAGGCCTCCCATATTCAGACCATGCCTTCAGGCAAAAACGTTGACGACGAAGTTTATACTCAGCTCCAAAGCCTCCTCCAATGGTCAGTTCTTTTCCCAGTTCTGTGTTCTGGAAAAAGTCACCGAGCTCTCAAGTCAAACCCAAGTAAACCTTTGAGAGAATCCTCCACTTACGAGGTAGACAGAAAATACTATAGGTAATGTCACTAGTGACTACGACCGTCTGTTCTTATATCTATCGTTCGACTACGTAGAGGTTATATTTTCAGAATAAGCATTCGTCTCGACAAACAAACAGATCGACGAGACAGAAAAAGATGAAAGGTATTATTGTCTTCCGTGAAAAGTTGCATGCATTATAATATGTGCTTATGTACAAAGAAAATGATAGATAGATAGATAGATAAATAGATAGATAGATAGATACATTATAGATAGATAGATAGATAGATAGACAGACAGACAGACAGACA